GAAATTGGAAAAAGCAGTGGTTCAATATGATAACAACGGCAGTGGTTGTGATGCAGGGATGTATGAACGTAGACCGAGACTTATTCTATCAATTTCAGGTCTGATTCGTCGCGACGGTGAACGTCACTCAGTGCCACGTACATCGAAAGGAACATCACGTTTCCCACGTCATCTTTCACTTGAAATCACCCAAGGAGACGTTCGTGTATGTATTTTTTTTTTCTTGCATTAATTTAAGCTAACAGAAAACAAACGAACAAAGGCATCGTTAGAAATCATTATTTCAAGTATAAATCTGAGAATTTTGCATGATTTCCAAAAAATCTTTTTTTGCGCTACAATTGCGGTAACGGTAAGAAATGTATACGATTTAATGGAACGAAACATTTTTTACCTATTACAAATATTTCCTTAGCCCCTTTCCCCTTCCTACTTCGCTTTTTCTTCGTTTTCTTCCCTTCCTCATCTTTTCTACTTCATTATTTTCTCTTCAACCTTTAGCGTGAAAATCAGGACTCGCTCTTTAAATCTGTACTTTACTTTCAAAGGATCAATTAAAGGCTTCGTTGCCTAGAGCCCTTGAAATATACCTCTCGTGATTATCAATAATTAAAACGTGATAGTTGGCACATTGATGATGAGAGGGAGATAATTAAGTTGGAATGATAACGTGAGGTTTTACGAGGGATTAATATCCGATCAGACAACCGCATTGAGAGAAAATCGCTGCATTTCGCCCTTGATTCTCCCAGAATTGATGTCCCCGTCATAGCGGAAATAGTGATTTAATTTTTCACACATTTATGATGTTCATTTTACTAATTTTATGATTTTTGTGCGTTTTTGCATATATGCAAATGCGAAAACGCATATTGCGACGACCCCGGTGTGTATGTGTGTGTGCGTATGTGTGTGTGTGTGTGTGTGTGTGTGTGCGTCTGTCCGGGTATTTCAACCCGACACCCAAGCAAGCTCCGGCGCCAAAATTTTGCGAGGGGGTTCCCCGGCCAAGTGCCACCCCAGACCGCGATCCCAGTCCTCACGCACGTCTAAGCCTTGCGTACGAGCGCCTCAAAGTTTCGGCGGGAAAATCACTAACTTGGGAACCAGAAAAGCTAGTTCTCTTTTTTCCAACTCCTCTATGGTTTTGTTTTTTGATTTCAGGCCATTTCAAAAGTGCTTCCTTCACAGCGATCATCTGCCTCGATCCCTTCTTCACCCGCCAAGGACAATGAATCTGCAGCAAAAGAAGCAGCAGCAGTTTATGCAGTTCAGTCGCTGCCACCTACACCACCAAGTATTACATTTCAATCGTTGTATTTCCGATACAAAGCTTCTCCTTGTTCTAAACCTTGGTCTAACTGCTTTAGCACATTTATTGTGTAACCCTATAACTGCACCTATTTCCCTCCTCTGACTAATTCTTAATACTTCGACCTACTTCCCTCCACTTACTAACTTCTAACAATTCCACCAAATTCTAAATGATTCCATA